CATCATCATCGCAAACGGCCGGGTCCGCCGGATACGCAAAATTCGTGCATGTGCCGCGCTTGCAGTTGACACAGTTAGTGCAGAGGCGCTTGTGATTTCGGCAGTCACATCGTCGGCTGCATGTGGACAGCGCAGACGTCCTTTTCTCGTTGCATGCGCATCAGGGGGGCCCGCCGCCGTCTCGCGGGATGAGGGTAGGTGGAGGGGGTTGAGTGTAGTCCGATACACGCTCGCTCATCCGAAAAGGAGGAGAAACAGCCGAGAAATCACCAACACACGGACAGACATTGTGTCGACCAATGGCTGCCTGTCAGGATGCAGGCGTGTGATGGCTGAATGACCTTGCGCCAGCAGTTTGCAGAACCGCCTGTCCGTGAGCTCCTCCCGGGAGTGGGCGCAGGTGCACTGCACCCCATACATGCAGCGGCTCACGTCGCCGTTGATGAAGTGCTTGCACAACCGCCGCTTGTACACGTCCATTTGACTCATGATGATCTATCTGAGTGACTCAAGCATGCAAAGCATACAAGGCCATGGCCAACACACGATGCATTACGGGCATGGCCTGTGTGCAGCATTGATTGCTCACTCGCACAGAGTCTTTTTTCAGGGTCGTATTCCTGCGCTGCAGGAAATGGCGCACAGGCGCAAAGATGTGTCCTGGCAAGGGTACAGAAGTCACCCCGCCTACACAGGAGGCTCTCTGCTTGGCGCTTTGATGAGTTTTTTGAGGCATGCATGCGAGCTAACAACGTTCTGAGGAGCAGAACGCTCAGTTGACAACGAGAGGCGAGTAACATGGTCGAGGAAACCGCCAGTTCGCCATCAGACCCCTCTCAGCCCGGTCCACTGTCGGTGTCCAATATCTCCCACCCGTCCCCTCCGCGCACCCACAGCAAACTGACCTCCACCGTCGTCAGGGAGGCCCGCGACTACGCCGATATGGTCAGCAACTCATCCGCCTTTCGCTCACACGTGCACTGGCTACATCGGCTCGTTGTGTTGTGTGTGTGTTGTGTGTGTGTGGTTGGTGCCTGCAGTCGATGCTGATCCCGCACGAGGCGCTTCGTCGTGAGTTGCTCGAGATGTCGTCGTGTGTGCCGTACCTCAAGGCAGAGGCCTCACACCTGTGGAAGATGAAACTCTTCTTCAGGTCTGTCTGGGGTGGCACTCAGGACTGCAATCAAATGGCCTGTGATGTGGCCCTGTACGGATGCGTCTGTGTGTGTCTGTGTGTGTACGTGGCTGCGTGGCTGCAGGTGGTATCGGACGTATTTCTACCCGATCATTCACGGGCACCATGCCAACGAGGAGAAGATCTTCTTTCCCCAGCTGGCCAAGAAGGTCGGCGCCAGCGAACTTCCAGCCACACTCTCATCCGACCATGAGGTCAGCGAGTGAGAAACACACACACACACACACAGAGAGAGAGAGAGAGAGAGAGAGAGAACGAGAACGCACACATGCATCTCCTCTGTGTGTGTGTGTGTGTGTGTGTCAGACGATGATGGGCATATTGGATCAGATCCTCACCGCCGAGAAGGACTTCCACAAAGCCAGCAACGACCATGACAAGGTAGCTACCTACCAAGCACACCACACACCACACACCAAGCCACCACATGGGTGTCCCTTACCCCCTGCCTGCCCTTCGCGCGTCTGTGCAGATCAAGGTGCGTCACATCGTGATCAATCTGATCCAGCAGCTGGTGCCTTTGATGGAAGAGCACTTTGCCGAGGAAGAGGAGAAGCTCATCCCCCTCGTCCGCGAGCACATGACCGAGGAGGAGGTCGACGCCGTCGTCGGCAGCATCCTCCACCACATGGGCCTCAAGGGCCTGCGCTTCGAGCTGCCCCCCGTGCTGGCCGCTGCTCGCGAGTGGATGACCGACGAGCAGTACCGGGAGTTCTCCCATAAGTCTCCCGCGTTGGTGATGCTGCTGCACAACTACGTGTTTGCGGTTGAGTTCAAGCACTTCAACCGGGGGCTGCTCGACAGGATACGGCACGGGGAGAGGGAGAGGGGGGTGGGGTGGCACTGTGGGCTGCTCCCCAATGTCTAGATCTAGAGGAAGCGGAGCTGGTCGCTGGTCGCAGGTCTCGCCAGCAGCGGTGTCTGATGGGTAGACGTTTCTTTGGTTGTCCGCCGCTGGTGCAGCCTCTGCGTGTGGTGTGCCCGAGAGATGCCGGCAGTGTGTGGCCATTCCTCACATTGTCACCATTACTTGGCCACTCCACAGACGGCGGCCCATCAGCAGAGAGGAAGGGCGTGTGATGGATGCTGCCAGCGTGGTGAGCCATTGGCATGGTGAGTTGCGTTTTTCGGACCAAAGAGAGAGAGAGGGATAGAGAGAGCAGAGAGAGAGGGATGGATAATGCGCCGTGTCTGTCTATCGACAACGTGCGCTCAGTGTCATGCTGTAGCTGCCTTGCCTTGCCAGATGGATGGATGGATGGATGGATGAGAGGAGCGCCTCTCTATCGTGTGATTGTGTGATTGTGTGGTGGTGTGTCGGGGATGAGGTTAGTGCAGTGCTGGGTGGGTGATACATACATGTGATTGATGTGTGCGTTTGTGCGTGGTGCAGTCAGCTGATGGTAGGTAGAATCTGATATATATTTGTGGCTAACACACAGACAGGCAGACAGACAGACAGACAGACAGCTGAACGACACGAGTGATCGGTGCATGAGATGACACTCACAGTGTGTGCGTGGTGAGTGACTGAGTGAGTGGGGCGGTTGGTCTGTGCGGTATTTGTGAGCGCAGCCAGCCACCCACATGTATGGCTGTGTGTGTGTATCGATGACTTTTTCGCGCCTTCGTGAATCAATCAATTGACTGACGTATTGACTGTGTGCAACATCTGCAGGGTTTCCGAATGCAGGGTTTGGGTTTCAGGGTTTCGTCAGCGCGCGACATTTCGGGCGACACAAGCGGGGAGATCTGACGTCAGCTCAACGTACACACACACGTGACATCGTCGGGGTGGAGCCAGCACTCTGAGCCTTCATCTTTTCAGATTCTTCGGAGCGCAGTGGGCCCCTTTGACCTTCTGACAACACACCTGACCAGCGCACAGCACAGTGACAATGGCGCCTCCCGACACCCGCACGCCCCCCAGCACTGCCAGTGGCAGCACTGAGCAGCTGGACGCCGCTGTCAAGAAGGATGAGGCGGCGGCCAAGCCGTCGGGCCCCCTCTATGGCACTGATATAGCGGACATCAGATTCGGACCCACATTCGGCTTTAAGACAAGTAAGTAAGAAGACAACGAAAGACAGACACGCGGAAGGGGAGGAAGGGAGGGAGGGTGTGCTGACGGTCCGTTGTACACGCGTGTGTGTGTGTGTGTGGTTGGCCTGTGTGTGTCACTTGATCAGCGAACCAGGCCATCAATCTCCACAAGGCGTTTGTGCCCGTCTTCATCATGCTGATGATGGTGGCTTTCAACAACTACGAGCTGCCCATTGTGGTGTACTTCGTCATGCACACCTGCTACGCCCTCTTCTGGATCACCATCTACTCGGTGAGCGCAGCGCACCCAACACCCACCACACAGATCGATCGACAGACGCCGGCCGGCATTGTGTGCACTTTCTGCTTGCTGCTGTGGCGCTTTGTGTGCTTTGCTCGGTGGGTGCAGACCTTCCCCTTCAAGGTGAGCAGAGCAGCGGAAGAATGGGCGCGGCGCACAGGAGGGAGGCATCACTCACTGATATGTGTGATTGATGTGTGTGGCAGAATTTTGAGTTCGAGCTGGGCAACGCCGAGTTCTGGATGACCTTCACGATGGCCAACAGCTACCTCTCCATCGCCGTAGCCCTCGTAAGGCCGGCCCACGACAGACACTCACACTTACCTACCGCAACCCCACTTCTGTGTGTGTGTGTTCTTCCATCCGTCCTCTGTTGTGTCACTCACGACAGGCGTGGACCACTCGCGAGCTGCCCCCCTGGCGCATCGGCCTGGCGCTCTTCTCCTTTATGTGGGGCATCTTCCTAAATGTAGGTGGGCTGGCTGGCTTGGAGAGAGAGAAGGAAAGCCAAGCCGCCTCTCCTTGTCGACTACTGTGACGCCATTCAATTCTATGGTTGGTTCATTCAGTTCGTGACGGACGCGCAGACGTACTGCATGCTCAAGTACAGGAAGGGCCTTATCACCGATGGCATGTACCAGCGCACACGCAACCCAGGATACCTCGGGGAGGTCCTGATCTACGCCGGGTGAGTCGCGACTCGCTGGCTGCAGACAAATGTGTTGTGTTGTGATGTGTGCGTGTGTGTGTGTCAGGTACTGCATGATGGCCAAGAGCTGGGTCGGTTGGTGTGTGTGTCTGGTGTGGTGGCTGGGGGTGTTCGTCCCCAATGCCACCAAGAAGGACAAGTCGCTCTCGCGGTACCCCGGCTTCGAGGCCTACAAGGCACACACATACGCCTTCCTGCCCAAACTCACGCCCTTCCCCGCACTCTTCTGAAGACAGACCGCACACAATCACAATCACACGCACACAGAGAGGGGGGGGGGGGGCTGGCTTCGCCTCCTTTCCCCTTCCACTCTGTCAATACATCCTCTCTCTCTCACTGTCTACCTATACATAGCCTGCCTGATCTGAGTGCAATAGCAACGCGGGAGCGGATGCATTGCGTACGTAATCCACCCACCGTCTCTTCCTGCGACTGTAACGTATTCATTGTAAGGTCTGCTGCCATCGCACAGACGCTGGGCTGCTGCCCGACACACAACACACTGACACGCATGTGTGTAGCTGCACAGATCGACAGGGTGCGAGAGCGTTTCGGTGGAAGATGCTGGAGGTTGGGGCGAGAGCAGCGTCTGTATGCTTTTTGCATCGCGTGAATAGATGGAGGGGATGGTATTCCACAGCACGGCTGGATGGATGGATGGCATTGCAGGTGTCGCAAAGCGACGGCCTTGTGTGACATTCTGCTTGTCGACACGTGTGTATGTGTACAGAGAGCACACTTTTCTTCAGCCGAGGCTTTGTTCCGTTTGGATATGGATGCCACTCACATATTCTTGATAGATATGGCCTCCGCCACGTGATGAACATTTCGGTATCCTGCTCTACGGTCCGTTCTGACGGTCTCATGGCGGCCGTCAGGGATGACACGTCAGGCAGGAGGTCCAAATGCTCCTAGCTTCACGGCTGGGGAGTGCCTTCGATATTTCTGGTTGATGAATTGACGGACCCGTCGAGCAACGACTAGCCACAATTGACTCATTGCGGAGGGCACCGGACAAATCTGCCGTGAAGGAGCAAGACCAACGATGTCTGGTTGATAAATCCTCGCCGTCAAACCCCGCCGATCGCCCAAAACCCTTGTTAACCGACCGGCCGCCCACATCGCATCGATGAGCGACGCCATTGCGAAGGGCTCGTTGCTGAGCCAGTTCCTGAAGCTTCAGGAAACAACATCGCCGTCAGACGCTGTCCTGAAGGTTCAACGCGATTGGTTCAACGGAACTCACCTTCTCGTCACTGGCTTCTCCTCGTTCAATTCCTGCGGTGTGTGTGTGTGTCATACGTATGACAGACATGCCAGGACGCCTTCTTTGTGGCGGCCAACTGGGACACCACGGGCAACTTCAGGGCGGCGGGGTATCGCTCTGCAGTCGATGTGGTTCTCTCCGAGCACCTCCCGGCTGCTGAGAGCTTCTTGCGCAGGGCGGAGGGGCTGGCTGGTGCCGCGGCTGCCACGGCGGCGACGGCTGAAGATGACATGCAGCGATCTGCCCTGGTGGGTCAGCCACACCGCTCTTCCTCAGTCATTGACACCTGTGTGTATGTGTGTGTGGGATACATCAATCACACCATCCAGCATTGGGCGAGTGGTAGCGGTTGTGTGGAGTTATGTCGGCTGCTCATCGATAACGGCGCACTGGCGTCCATCGACAAGTGAGCAGAGCACAGCCCCGAAGGCGGCAGCCGGGAGGGGAGGGAGCCCACCCATTTGCAAATGATGATCCTTTTGTCCGTTCTTGGTTCCTCCTTAGGTATGATAGCAAGAGGCGTACGCCGCTGCTGTGGGCGGTGGCGAGAGGGGCTGCCGACGTGTGCAAGTACCTGCTGCTCAAGGGCGCTGACCCACACCTGCCAAACCGCAAAGGCCTCGAGCCACTGCACCTGTAGGCACCCCACCCCGAACGCCCATCCATCCATCCATCCATCCACCCACATGCCTTTCTTTTCTCCTCTGCAGTGCGCGTCAGGTCAAGAGCTACTCATGTATCGATGTCCTGACGGCCCACATCCGCGCCTTTGAGCGAAGCAAGAGCAACACTCGGCATCCCACCAGGCCAACCCCCCCAGCCCCCACCCCCACGGCCTCCTTCTGCTCTCTCCCCTCCTCGCTCAACACCCTCCTCGACCCGGGCCCGCCTGCACCCCCTGCCGCCCCATCGCAGCACTCCCCCGTCGCACGCCACCCGCCAAACCCCTCAACCACACACATCTCTCGTTCGCGAGGGCCGGCTGATGTGCCCAACTTCTTCTCTGACGGCCGGGCGCATTGGTGTGCGATGCGGCAAGAGCTCGACAGCATCGAGGGCGGTTGTGGGGGTGGGGGTGGTAGTACTGTTGGTGGGGGAGAGATGGGGGCGCTCAAGGCCATGCTGGACGACCTGGCGTGTTCCTTTGGGGTGCGTCAGCAAGGTGCAGGGGGAGGGGGAGGGGGAGGCGATGCCTTCGCAGCCCTGCCAAAGTCGCATTTTGATGCGGTGAGGCATGCCATAGACGAGTTTGATGCCCTGCTGGCCAAGAGCACAACCACACCGTTTCGAGTGCAGGCGAGAAAGAGCAGCGATAGCGACGGAGACGGACATTGGTCCCCTTTGGCGCCGTTTTCGCCGTTGCCGCGGCTGCAGTTGGCTGATGAGTTGGTTTGGAGCGAGGGAGAGGGCGAAGGGGATGACGTAGGGGATGAGCACGACATTGGGGTGCGAAGTGAGTCCGATGGGTTTGCAGCGCTATAGTGCAGGAGGGGAGGGCGGTCGCTGACTGACTGACCGGTTTGTGGTGTGTGTGTGTACCATAACGGTTGCCAGCACGTGTCTGTGTGTGCCACGCGTGTGCGCTGACTGCCTTCGTGCCTGTCGTGCCGTGCCGTCATCATAAAGAAAACTTGTGCAGCCATTCAGGTGACTGACATCGGAAGTCAGCAGCCGTGCCGTGCTGTGCTGTCTGTGCGGCTCACACACACACACACACCACCACGAGTGTCACATCGCCTGCATGTGCATCGCCTTGCCTGCCTGCCAGCCATCGACGCGCGAATGAATCCTCCCTCCCCATGCCCTTCCTCCAGCAAAGCGTCCGAACACACACGTGATCCTTAATGCACCACTGATAGCATCGATTGCACCACTCACAGACGGTGTGACGTGTTTGTTCAGCGCTATCAAAGCTGGCAGTCAAGGAAGGCGGCCACGGCTCCCTCCCCCTTGAAGGGGGGGCGGGGCCGCCGGCGGCCGGCCATCCTTACGGCATTACAGAGGGGGCGACAGGCAGTCAGGCCAGCAATTAGGCGAGTCGAGCAACGTAATAGGCAAGTATGTGTGTGCACACGCACGAAGGAGACAGCTCGCTTCCGATGCATCCACCGAATGCACCGACCGCAGGGCTAATTGCCTTCCTTCCAGACATCAATCACATCCACCCCCCGTCCTTTAGCTCACGCAACCACGCACACGCACACGAACATGTAGTGCCTTGTCTTGCCCGCCATTGTCTTGTTTGTCTAGTAGGTTTGACGTGCAATCTCGTACACGTAGATGTTGGTGTCCGTCGACCTGATATTCCACACACACACACAGAGAGGTCGAAGACAAGGGCAGGCAGACATACATACAGACAGACATGTCTCTCTCTCTGTTCTCTCTCTGTGGTGACATACACACGTGCCACCTGACGTGACGTACGTACCCAGCGAAGAGTGTGTTTCCGTCGGCGCTCCAGGTGAGCGAAACGCACCATGGGAGGCCCGACTTGGACGGCTCCGTCGGGTGCAGCTCCTCCAACACATTCTTATTCTCCAAATCCCATATCTGCCACAGTCACCACACCACACACCGTACACCCGTCGCTCTCTGTCTGTCGTGTCCGTCTGTGGTCTGTGTGTGTGACCACAGTGACCTTGATGGAGTTGTCTGTAGCGGCGCACAGCCAGTAGTTCTTGGGGGAGAAGCAGAGTGCGTTGATGGTGACGCCCGCCTCGAGGGAGTAGAGGTGTTTGCCCTCGTTGACGTCCCACAGCATCGCCGTGCCGTCCTTGCCGCCGCTGGCGCACAGGGAGCCGTCGGGCGAGATGGTCACCGTGTACAGGGGGCCGCTGTGGCCGGCCAGGTTGGTCTTCAGCTTGCAGTTGGTCAGACTCCACACCTAAACACACACACACACACAGAGAGGGAGATAGTTGGAGGGAGGTGGTTGGTGTTGTGTTGACCTTGACGAGTTTGTCCCATCCGCATGAGACGATGATAGGCTGTTTGGCTGATGGGCTGAATCGGACGCAGCTGATCCAGTCGGTGTGCTGGTCGTCGAGGATGGTGTACTTGCACTCGGCCAACGTGTTCCACAACTTGATCGTCTTGTCGCGACTCCCTGCACACACACACACATGTGCATTAAATACACATCGACCCACCCTTCCATCCATCCATCTGCACAGACAGACGACATGAATGACCTTGCTTCTTACTCACCGGAGACGATTTGTCTGTTGTCGACTGAGAATGCGACGGAGAAGATGTCGCCTGTGTGGCCGACGAATGACCGCACCGACTCGCCCTTGTTCAGATCCCACAGACGGAGAGTCTTGTCTGCCACCAACCCAGCATGGCATGGGACACACACACATACACACAGAGCCATGTCAGCTGGCTATAGTATACACATGGCCTCGCGTGGCGTGGCGTCACTGACCCCAAGATCCCGAGAGGGCGAACTGCCCGTCCGTGGACAAAACCACATCCTGCACCGGCTGGGAGTGACTGATGGACGGAAGAACCAACCAGACAGACAGACAGACAGGTGAGGCGCGTACCAACCAGTGGTGCCAGCAGTGGTGGCATATCAACCGTGTGTGGTTAGTTGGCTGGGCTGACCCTGAGAGTGCTCTCTTGGCATAGCCGTACTGCTCTGGGTTGTCTGGCGTGATATTCCACAAGATCACCTTCTTATCTGCAGGCACCATACATCATACCAACCAAGGCACACAGGTCAGATCAGATCTCCCCCCGGCTGGCTGCCCCCCTTCTCCCTTCCCCCTCCTTAATTGCCCTCTTCGGTGTGTGTGTGTACCTCGCGAGGAGGAGATGACGACGTTGGGTGCGTCGATGGTGCACGAGATGGACGTCACCCACCCCCGGTGACCCTGTAACACACCGCAGAAACGAAGCGTGCTCTCCGCCATACCGACCGAACCACACGCACAGCCACGCGAAGGCCGTCTCAAAGCGCCGAGATCTCCACACAGCAGCGGTTTCAGGCAGCACCCTAGATCAGCATGGGGTGGTGCTTTTCCAGGCTGTGTCGGCTGAGAACACTGCAGGTGTTGCGGTTTGGTGCTTGGTACGGCCGCAGATGAGTGCATTTTGACTGACCTCGCTCATCCATCAGGCGAGATCGATGACGCTTGACTGGGGCAACGTCCGCGGCGTGGGGAGCTGGTCGCGGAGCTTCTGGAACCTGCTCAAGGTGCGCAAGGAGCGGTTTCTGCAGAAGGACCTCTACAGGTCCCTCTACAAGTACAGCAGGAAGCGCGCCAAGCGGTTCGACAAGCGGACGGGCCTCCTGTCCGCCGGGGTGCCCTCTCTCGTCATGCTCTTCGTCGCCACGGCGGCGGGCGTTGTCGTCATCGACCGGCAGTTTGAGATCCGTGACCTGCGGGTGCGGTCGATAGGGCAGCGGGAGCTGAGCCTGCAGGAGGAGCATGACAGGATGGTCAAGTTCCTGAACGAGTCGGAGAAGGAGATCAAGACTGGGGAGGCGCTACAGTTTAAGCAGCTCCCCAAGGAGGCAAAAGTGTGAGGGATATGGATGATGGACCACTTTGGCTGGGGGAGGGAGGGAGATATCGCGGGAGTGGGTATCTATTGTGGCCGGCTGAGCTGTCCTTTGTTTCTTGTAAGGTGTGCAGTGCAGTCAGTGTGTTGACTGACTGGATGGGGTCTTCACTGCATGATTGATGTGTGTGGTTGTCCAGCTATCTATCGGCTTTTTCCGTGTGTGTGTATCCGACCGAGTTGCATGCTGATTCTTACGGCAAGGACTTACATGAGTGAGTGGCACATGTTCATTAATTGTCAGTGGGAAAGGACAACCGTCCACTGGGCAACTGTCCGAATGTTCATCCCCCTCCCGCGCGCGCACGAGAGAGGGGGATAATGTTTGTCACCAATTGAACGCACAACTACACTACGGCACTTCGTATACAACGCTTAAAGATGTAATACAGGAGGAACTCTCCTTGGAGCTCTCCTTGCATGCAGATGCACACTGCAGGTACACACGGCTCACAGCTCCTTGTCCTTGCCGCCTGTCGCCGCTGCTAAGAGTGGCTCCTTCTCGGCCTCAGTGGCCGCCTCTGTCCTGCCTGGCTGGTCGTCGCCCTCGCTGCTGCAGCTGGTGGTGGTGGTGGCCTGGTACTTCTCGATGCCCCTGAGCCGCTCCACCAGGGGAGGGTGGCTGTAGTGATACCAGGCATACCTACAGACAGACAGACAGACAGACAGACAGACACATGCAACACAACCGAGGAAG